TTATTCCTAATTTGTATCAAATTATGTTGTTCCCATGGGTGGAGCCTTTACTTAGTTCAATAGGAAATGTTTGTTTAAGAGATTAAAACAGACTGGGCGTGGTGGCTCACACCTGTAATCCCAGCACTTTGGGAGACCCAGGCGGGCAGATCACCTGAGATCAGGAGTTTGAGACCAGCCTGGCCAACATGGCGAAACCCTGTCTCTACTAAAAATACAAAAATTAGCCAGGCATGTTGGTGGGCATCTGTAATCCCAGCTACTCAGGAGGCTGAGGCAGGAGAATCGCTTAAACCTGGGAGGCAGAGGTTGCAGTGAGCCGAGATCACGCCACTGCACTCCAGCCTGGGTGACAGAGCAAGACTCTGTCTCAAAAAAAAAAAAAAAAAAAAAGATGAAAGCAGATTGATTTCTCCAGGGACGGCTACTATAGAATACTTTTTGTACATCATCCTTATTTAAGCTTTCAAGGAATTTTTTTTTTCTTGGCAGATTATCCCAGCGGCAAGTGCATCCCAGCTGACCCTTGTCGACTTGGTGTGTGCACTCAGCACCCTGCAGACTGACACGTTGCTGCACCTGGTGAAGGAGGTGGTGAAGAGGCCACCCCAAGTCAAAGGGGGTGACGAGGTAAGGAGACTGGGGAGTCCTCTAGGCTTCTGTAGATGAGTGGGTGGCATTCGTCATAACTCTACTTCCTTATAAATTGTGTTTGGGAGGGAAAGATAGGTAACAAGAGTGAGTGGGACTGCTTGGGGTAGTGAAGTGGAGGTGCTGTTTGCTGTGCTTTGGGGGAGACCTATGAAGATTTGGTGCTCCTTTTTTAAGGTGGGAACTGCCTGAGGTCAGGGGCTCTCATCCTTGTACCCTGCTGCTGAGGACACTGCCTGGTACACGCCTTCTGGGCACTAAATGGAATAAAATCTTTAGAAAGGGGAAAGGGCACCTGCCTTAAGGAACTTGCAGCTGTAAAGATGTCAAAGAGGAACAAAACCAGACTCTAGTGAAAGGTGGTAAAGACAAATGTGATTCAGTAACCACTGCGGTAAGGGGAAGTGCTGGGTTCAGTTTAGATTTGTGTGGAGATGACTGGGAAAGGATGAGGGAGGAGGGAGGAGAAGGAGCAGGGATTTAAGGAGAGTTGGAGAAGTAGAAAATTACAAAAGAGCAGGCAGGGAGGCTGCTCAGTCCATAGATGTGATTAGGCCATCTGGGTTTGCTAACTGGGGCTTATCCAAATGAGGCTCCTACCCTCCCACAGAGGCTGGGAGATCAAGACTCTGTCTGTCTCAGTGATTCTATTTCAAAGGGATGGCTCCCAGGTCCTTGAGAAACACATTCCTAGGCTGTGGGAGACACATACACATCTCAAAGGGACAGAGAAAGTATTTATCATTGTAAACTTAAAATGCTCTGAGAAAGGGAGGTCAGGGGCCTCTCTGCAGGTGTTGGCAGGAACAAACAGTAAATTCTTTGGCAACCTTGAGCTTTCTTGGGCAGGCGTTTGAAGAGGACTGGTGTCCCCATCCTAGGGATCCATGCTGGTGGTGTTTGCTCAAGTCCCTTGGTGTGGGGGTGGACAGAATCATTTGTCAAGCAGAGGGCTCAGAGGAGCCTAGCTAGAGTCAGCTCAAGGAGAGAGTCTTTGTCAAGGGCAAACTAAAATTTGTGTACCTTTTTTTTTTTTTTTTTTTGAGACAGAGTCTCACACTGTCATCCAGGCTGGAGTGCAGTGGTGCGATCTCAAGTCACTGCAACCTCTGCCTCCTGGGCTCAAGTGATTCTTGTGCCTCGGCCTCCTGGGTAGCTGGGAGTGGAGGTGCATGGAAGTCTCACTTTGTCATCCAGGCTGCAGTGCAGTGGCACAATCACAGCTCACCATAGCCTCGACCTCCCCACGCTCAAGTGATCTTCTCAAGTAGCTGAGACCACACGTGCACACCACCACGCCTGACTAATTTTTATATTTTTTGTAGTGACGGGGTTTGCCATGTTGCCCAGACTGGTCTGGAACTACTAGGCTCAAGCAATCCTCCCGCCTCGGCCTCCCAAAGTACTGGGATTACGGGCGAGAGCCACCATGCCTGGCTGCATAATTTTTTATAAAAGTAGAAAATAAATGTCAGAGAACATAAGTCATGATAGACACTCTGAGAAAGAGATTTCATCTGGCTGCTGTGAAACAGAAACCTTCAGGGTGATGTCATTGAACCAAGAAGTTCCTTGTAATTTTTCTGCTCAATTTCATTACCGCAGCCTGGAGGGCCCATGTCGTCTAGAGAGCTTCTTCAGTTATACACAGTGGATTTAAAACAGGGCAAGCTGTGTGGTTTAATATTTGCATTCCCTTAGAGTCTTCTGTTTTTGTTTTTACCAAAGCAGACTTCATCATTGAAAGCAGCAGAGCCGTTTTGCTCTTAAGTTAATAAAAACCAGGGATTTATTTCAATCTTGAAATAATTGCCTTCTGTCAAACAATTTAAAATCATACAGTTAGCAAAAATTTAAGAATAATCTAAATGAAAATTAGGGGACCTGGGCATGGTGGCTTATGCCTGTAATCCTAGCACATTAGTCCAGGAGTTCAAGACCAGCCTGGGCAACGTAGGGAGACACCGTCTCTACAATAAATTAAAAAATTAGCTGGGGGTGGTAGTGCACACTTGTAGCCCCAGCTATTTGGGAGGCTGAGGCAGGAGGATCAGTTGAGCACACGAGTATGAGGCTGTAGTGAGCTATGATGGAGCCATTGCACTCCAGCCTAGGTGACAGAGTGAGACCCTGTCCACAAAAAAGAAAATTTGTGCAATGGAAAAGTGATTATTAAAAAATATAGCTTTACTTGAACAGATATTTGTGTGCTGATGTTCATAGCAGCATTATTCACAGCAGCCAAAAGGCAGAAGCAATCCATGTGTGTATCAGTGGGTGCACAGATAACAAAGTGAGATCTGTGCATGTAGTGGGTTAGTACTCAGCTTTAACAGGAATGAAATTCTGACACGTGCTACAACATGGATGTCAGATCCTTAACATGGATGAACCTTTTTTTTTTTTTGAGACGGAGTCTCGCTCTGTTGCCCAGGCTGGAGTGCCGTGGCACAATCTTGGCTCACTGCAAGCTCTGCCTCCTGGGTTCATGCCATTCTCCTGCCTCAGCCTCCCGAGTACCTGGGAGTACAGATGCCTGCCACTGCACCCGGCTAATTTTTTGTATTTTTAGTAGAGATGGGGTTTCACTGTGTTGGCCAGGATGGTCTCGATCTCTTGACCTCGTGATCCGCCCGCCTTGGCCTCCCAAAGTGCTGGGATTACAGGCGTGAGCCCTCGCGCCTGGCGACATGGATGAACCTTGAAGACATTAAGTTGAATGAAGTAAGCCAGTCACAAGAGGACTAACACAGTTCTATATCTGGGGGAAAAAAAAAGAAACTCAACTGTGTCCTCCCTCAACAACATAACAATCAACACAGAAGACCTCTTACCGCAGATATGCGGGGAGTTCTCCCCACCAGCAGGCAAGCAGTTGAGTCCGCAGTGGACACCAGTTGGGTGTCCTCCAATTCAATTCCTACTCTATCTGCTTGGAGACAGTGTCAGATCCCACAGGGTAAGGACTCAGTCCCAAGAGCACCCTCAACTTCAGACACCAGTCATGAGTCCGGGCCTCTGGAACTTCTGACTGACTAGCTTCAAGTTGGGATTCCCACGAACCCCTTCTTTGGGTTCAATTAATTTGTCAGAGCAGCTTGCAGAACTCCAGAAACACGTTTACTGGTTTATTATAAAGGCCACTACTAAGGATACAGATGAAGGGGTGCATAGGGCGAGGCATGGGGGAAGAGGTGCGGAGCTCCCACACCCTCCGTGGGCACAGAACCTTCATGTGCTCTGCTCTCCAGAAGCTCACCAAACCCAGTCCTCTTGGGCCTCTTATGGAAACTTCACTGGATGGGCATGACTAAAGCATGGACAACCGTGTCGAAATGTGATTGGACAAAAAGAATGTGATCTAATACTTAATACAGTGACTGGGGAAACCCAGTAGGGCCTGCCTGTTCAGATTCTTCTTGGCCTGTCTGCACAGCACTCCTTCCTCCAGGGTGTGGGACAGGACCCTCCCCAGAATGAGAGTCTTATGAACCATAGTCAGATTAGAGTCCTGCCTTGGGACAGGTAAAAGGAGGGCAGGAGTTACGAACCAAGAACTGGACAGAAACACATTAAAAAAAATAGGGAGGTAGGCAGGAAGACAGATAGGTAGGTAGGTAGATAGATAGATAGATTGATTGATTGATTGATTGATTGATAGAAGTAGGTAGGTAGGTAGGTAGATGTAGGTAGGTAGGTAGATAGATGTAGGTAGGTAGATAGATGTAGGTAGGTAGATAGATGTAGGTAGGTAGGTAGATGTAGGTAGGTAGATAGATGTAGGTAGGTAGATAGATGTAGGTAGGTAGATAGATGTAGGTAGGTAGGTAGATGTAGGTAGGTAGATAGATGTAGGTAGGTAGGTAGATGTAGGTAGGTAGATAGATGTAGGTAGGTAGGTAGATGTAGGTAGGTAGATAGATGTAGGTAGGTAGGTAGATGTAGGTAGGTAGATAGATGTAGGTAGGTAGGTAGATAGATAGATAGAAGTAGGTAGGTAGGTAGGTAGGTAGATAGATATGATTTTAGAGTGTTAACGGGTGGCTCACTCCTGTAATCCCAACACTTTGGGAAGCCGAAGCAGGGAGATTGCTTGAGCCCAGAAGTTCAAGACCAGCCTGGGCAACAAAGTAAAACCCTGACTCTCCAAAAAAAAAAAAAGAAAAGAAAAAAAATTAGCCAGGCATGGTAGTACCCACCTGTAGCCTCAGCTACTTGGGAGGCTGAGGTGGGAGAATCACTTGAGCCAGGGAAGTTGAGGCTGCATTGAGCCAAGATCACGCCACTGCACTCCAGTACAGAGCACGACCCTTTCGTCTCAAAACGAAAGAAATACTTTTTTTTTTTCACATCAGACAGGTCATGTGCCGACCATTGTAACAAGGCTTGAGGGTGGTACATCTCACACATGCACGTGAACACCCAGTCATCACACTCATGAACTACAGATGGATCAGAAGACTTTTTTTTCAGCCTCGCATATGACGCAGGGCAGCCCCCTATAGAAATGTCCAGGCCCCGAGGGCCTGGCCGTTGGGCGTCACCCAGCTGGTTATCCTCCAGCCCCTGGTCTCTTCCTTCGTTCCAGTGTTGATCGACAATGCCCTATGCGCACTGAGTGGTGTGGTGGAGGCTAAATAGTGAAAAGAACAGTTCCTGCCCTCAGTCCTCCTATATTCTAGCTTGGCAAAGAAGAGAGAAGAGAAGCGAAGCCATCCTAAAAAATAACAACACTGCGAGGCCAGGCTATGGAGCCGGCTCAGTAACACCACGGCGAGGCCGGGCTGCGGAGCCGGCTCAGTGCTTAAGGCACCAAATGTAAAAGGACCCCAATGACTCCCACAGTATTTCTTGGGGATCTGGCCCAGGTCTCCCAATCTCCCAAGAACGTATGGTCGTCCTGTTGCCTTTCACTTTTGTTTTTTTTTGTTTTTTTTTTTTTTTTTGAGACAGAGTCTCGCTCTGTCGCCCAGGCTGATCGCAGCTCACTGCAAGCTCCACCTCCCGGGTTCATGCCATTCTCCTGCCTCAGCCTCCCGAGTAGCTGGGACCACAGGCGCCCACCACCATGCCTGGATAATTTTTTGTATTTTTAGTAGAGACGGGGTTTCACCGTGTTAGCCAGGATGGTCTCGATCGCCTGACCTCATGATCCACTGGCCTTGGCCTCCCAAAGTGCTGGGATTACAGGCGTGAGCCACTGTCCCCGGCCTTTTTTTTTTTTTTTTGAGGTGGAGTCTCGCTCTCAAAAAGAGAGCCAGGCTGTCAGGAGTCAGGCTGGAATGCAGTGGCATGATCTTGGTTCACTGCAACCTCTACCTCCTTGGTTCAAGCGGTTCTCCTGCCTCAGCCTCCTGAGTAGCTGGAATTACAGGCTTGCGCCACCATGCCCAGTTAATTTTTTTGTATTTTTAGTAGAGATAGGGTTTCGCCATGTTGGCCAAGCTGGTCTTGAACACCTGACCTCAAGTGATCCACCCGCCTTGGCTTCCCAAAGTGCTGGGATTACAGGCGTGAACCACCACACTTGGCCTCTTTTCACTCTTGTCCATAAATGTTAGGAGTGGGAATGACACGCCACAGGGCAGTCTGTGCCACTGCAGGCTTGGTGGCCGTAGAACCAAGGGGTTCTTCGAGGGGCTGTCCTGAAGACAGCTCTGCAGAGGCTGTGACAGCCAGAGCGAGTGTTTTTAGGTTGTGTTCCTTCACATTACTTGAATTTCTACAAATACCTGCAATTTCTAGTCTTTCCTGGGCTATAAAGGAACTGGATTTTATTTAGCTGACTGGTTTTTGGCGGTTCAAATAACAAAACTACATTTTGTGGTTAGTTTAGTTAATTAATAGCTGCAAATAGCTTTTTACAAGCAAGGAGCGGGGGAAACGTGTGTTTTGGAACTTGTTTCCAAGTAGTTCCAGCCGCAGGGTTTTTGGGGAAACTGTTTGGGTTGGGTTCGAAGTAATCTTCTAAACTAAGAATTAGAATTTTTTGGCTGGGTATGGTGGCTCTACTTGGGAGGCGGAGGCATGAGGATCACTTGAACGAGGGAGGCAGAGGTTGCAGTGAGCTGAGATTGCACTAGTGTACTCCATCCTGGACAACAGAACAAGACTCTTGTGTCAAAGAGAAAGAGAAAGAGACAGAGAAAGAAAGGGAGGGAGGGAGAGAGGAAAAGAAAAGAGAAGAGAAGAGAAGAGAGAAAGAAGCAAAAGAATTAGAATTTTGCCTTGTCTCTTGGTAATCATGTGCATTCATTGGAGTCAACACTGGCCCTAGCTCTCTGTTTGGGGAAGTTCAGTTACAATACTGATTTTCCCTAAATGCTTCCTGATGCCTGGCATGGAAAGGGGGTACACAGGATGGGAGATCACTGTAGAAGTCTAAGGGGGCGCGAATGATTTGGGGGCTCCTAGGACACACTTATTTTAATTGTACATGATGGGCACTATCATGTCTGTTGTTTTATCTGAAAGATTCTTTAGTGGAAAACCTTTGCTTTGTTAGGCTATAGATCTGTTTCACTTTGTATCTGAATTCTTTTTAGCCTTATTTCCCACCAACCTGGAGTAATTGATTTTACTTTCATTTTCAGAAATCGCCCCTAGTGGACATCCCTGTGTTGCAATTTTGCTATGCTTTTCTCCAAAGGTAATCCAGTCTCCCGTCCTCTAAAAACTTCCTTAAATACAGATACTGTGGCAGTGAGCATGCATAGTATCTCTGGTTTTATTTCTAGACTACCAGAGAGCCACAGTTCAGAAAATATCTTAAAGTTGTCATCATTTCTTCCTGAGGTATTGATCTGTACTTTTCCTTCTCCAGAGAGTTAACATCTTAAAATCTGTACACTGTATCTCGAACACTTTATATGAGCAAAGCTTTATGTGAGGCCTATTAAACTTTAAAAGGCTCAGATTTGCATTAAATTGATACAGAAAAAGAAAAAAAAAAAAACACAGATAGGGAAGTGTTAAAGACCTCTTTTAGAAAAAGGAGAAATGGGCGGGGTGCGGTGGCTCATGCCTGCAATCCCAGCACTTTGGGAGGCCGAGGCAGGCCGATCACTTGAGGCCAGGAGTTTGAGACCAGCCTGGCCAACATGGTAAAACCCCGTCTGTACTAAAAATACAAACATTAGTTGGGCATGGTGGCATGCACCTGTAATCCCAGCTACTCCAGAGGCTGAGGCAGGAGAACTGCATGAACCCAGGAGGCAGAGGTTGCAGTGAGCCGAGACCACACCACTGTTCTCCAGCCTGGGTGACAGAGCAAGGCTCTGTCTCAAAAGAAAAAAAATCTGGTGACGTTCTCAGTGTGCCATCCCGTGTTTGATGTGGAGAGGTTTCCGCTTTGATTTGCTAAGTTAATATAGGTATTAGGTGTCTTAGCCAACAGAGCATTAAAGAGGATTCCCCAGGTTTTTCCCCATGGATGAAAAATAAGCTTTATTGGACCTCATTCAGATCTTACAATGGCCGCATCCCAGGCACAGCTCTGTGTTGCTGTAAATGAGGGTGAGGGGGCTGGGTGCGGTGGCTCATGCCTATAATCACGGCACTTTGGGAGACTGAAGTGGGTGGGTCACTTGAGGCCAGGAGTTTGAGACCAGCCTGGCCAGTGTGGTAAAACCCTATATCTACTAAAACTATAAAAAAAAATTAGGGCTTGGTTGTGTCATGCCTGTAGTCCCAGCTACTCAGGAAGCTGAGGCAGGTGAATCACTTGAACCCAGGAGGCAGAGGTTGACGTGAGCTGAGATCACACCACTGTACTGCAGCCTGGGGGACAGAATGAGGGTCTATCTCAAAAAAAAAAGGGGGGGGGTGAGGGAAGTACAGACCACTTCTCAGGGAAGCCTCAGTATCCCTACATAGCCATCAGGAGTCTCACTATAAATAACGCTGACAACCAGGCACAGGCTCCTTGGTTCACACAGTTAACATTCTGTGGTTATTCCCCACTCACCACATTCTGAAGTTGCAGGACGGTAAATCGAGGCCTCTTGGTAGATGACCAGGGTGGGGTTAAATTCAGACCACTTCCCCCGTGAGCATCATTGTCGTTCTTTCCTCCAGGAGTTAAAGATGAGCCGGTCACTTCCCTCCTATGACAGCTAATATATGTTGTGTTGCTGGTGAATGTTGACTGTAGGGGCCTAAGGGATAGCCGAGCTTTCCCAGCAGCTGCAGGTTAGATTTGGTCGTCCTCCTTTTGCCGAGGAGGAACCACCTAGGTTACACAGTAGGTAGTAAGTTGGAGAACCAGGACTTGGACCTGGGACACTCTGACTGCAGTCTGAGCTTTCACTTCCTGAGCTGCGCTGTCTTGCTTTGGAGCAGTCATCTCAGAATCCTCATCCTGAGAGCTACAGAGGGGGGTAGGCCAGTTTCCTGGTGAGTGTCCCGGGACCTAATGCTTTGCAGCCTTCCGACAGGTGATGCTCTGTTACCAGCCACTTTAGGGAAGCAGAATATCAGCTCAAAAAGGCCTGAGAGATCAGCCAGGCACGGTGGCTCATGCCTGTAATCCCAGCACTTTGGGAGGCCGAGGCAAGTGGATTTACTTGAGTCCAGGAGTTCAAGACCAGCCTGACCAATGTGATGAAACCCCATTTCTACTAAAATACAAAAAATTAGCCCGGTGTGGTGGCAGGCGCCTGTAATCCCAGCTCGGGAGGCTGAAGAATGAGAATCACTTGAACTCGGTGGGGCAGAGGTTGCAGTGAGCCGAGATTACGCCACTGCACTCCAGCCTGGGCGACAGAGCAAGACTCTGTATTACAAAAAAGGAAAGGCCTGAGAGATCAAGGTTGATCATCTAGTTTAAGGCTTTTATTTTACAGACAAGGAAACCAGGCAGCAGTAGGATTTCAGGTTCCCAAACTCCAAGTGCTAGCCAGAATACCAAAGTTTAGCTTGTGTATGTTGTAATTTTTTAAAAAGAAAAAGGTCGGTGGGGTGTGCTGTTTACCCTTTGCTTTCCAACCGCCAGGATCTTAAATGTGCTTATAAATAAATGTTGTATTTTGACCTGTTCATGGTTAAGTGTTTTTCCTATCTTTTTAAAAAACAGGCTTCCAGTACCAGCCTTGCAAGAGAACTTTTCTTCACTGTTGGGAGTATTGAAGGAGTCTGTACAGTTGAATCTAGCCCCACCTGGGTATTTTCTGCTTCTCAGGTATCATGTCACCACATTGTCATTGTGTAATATTTTCTTTTGGCACATATTTTATTTCTGCGGCATTTTTAATCTGAAGCTGACTGTCTCCCGACAGCATGCTGAATGACTTTGTAACAAGAACTCCCAACCTGGAAAACAAGAAGGATCTAAAAGACCTGCAGGTTTGTATACGAAAGAGGTTCAGCCCAATGATATTACCCCAGCAGTGCTGTCCTCCTTTGGGGATATCAGATTGCAGATAGGCAAGAGACGTTGGACAGAATCTGAGGTTAG